GGCGGGGAAGAGACAAGAAGACTTCCTCGAGGGGAATCGCCCTTCTCTCCGCAGCAGGTGGGTCGGCTCCAGACCTCTCAGGGTCTCCTTCCCAGCCCTGCGGCGGGCAGAGAGGAGACACGCGACGGCTCCGGGCTGCTCTCCGGCTGCTTCTTCGGGGGCGCCTCGTCGCCCTTCGCTCTTGCCCACCGGAGTCCTACCTAGGCGGGGTTTTCCGGCTGGTCCGCGCCCCCGAGAAGGGCAGCTCTTCCGGCCGAGGGTTTGGACGGCGCTGCCCAAGTCGCCTCCCTCTGTCCCCGGACGGACTTTCCTGGCGCGTGTTTGGCAGGAGAAAAGAAGCGAAAACCTCCGGCGATCCACAGGAGGGAGGGAGGGAGGCGCTTGGCCGATCCCCCGCCGGCTCCGTCCGCCGGGGATCGCTGGGGAGGAGGCGAAAGGACTGGGCGCCAGGCGAGCAGAGGCCGGCAGGGGCCCGCTAACCTTGACACGCCGCCCTGCCAATCCGGGGTGAGATCCCCCCCCCAAAATCCGCGGCGGGCTCGACCCCCGTGCCGCTTACTGGCCCGTCAGCCCCGCTGCCCGCCAAGAGGCGCAGCCAGGCCTAGTTCGCTGGGCGTTTGGCGCACACGAAGGATCGCTTCGCACGTCTTTCAGCCCTGCACCATCAATCCCCCCCCGAGCCTGTTTTCTCACAAGGAAACCCGTTGGGGATCGGGGCGCTCCAGGCCTGCTCCCTCCGTGGGGACGGACTGCGCCTCAGCAGCTGGCCAGGGAGGACGGCGCCTTGTGCCGCCTGCGCTCTCGCCACCCTTCTCCGCAAACGCGGACAGTGGACTGGATCGGAACCTTTCGCGCCAATGGGACGCTGCTCCTTGCGAGGAGACGGTCTTTCCAAAACGGGAGACTGGCATCCCCGGGGTCTGCGGCCGGAGCGCTCCGCTGGGCCCCTTTGCGCTTTGGCAGGCCTGAGCCAGGCCTCGCTTCGGAGCGCCTCCCAAGCCGCAGCCTCGGCGCGTTGGTTTGCTGACCTCGCAAAGTTGTGCGGGAGGGATTTGACTGCTGCATGAATTAGTTTGCTCTGGATCCATCCTTCCTGAGCTAAGACAAAAATGTGTGAGCCAGAGGCTAAAAAGCTGTGAGCTAGCTCACACTAACTCATCTTAGAGGGAAGACTGCGTCGCAATCCTAAGAAAAGGACCCCCTTCTAAAGCCATCGAAGTCAACGGGCTCGGCTGTGCTTAGGGGCGCACTGTGGACTCCGCGGGTGGAGAGGGAGGTTTCTGGGGGCTTAGCCATAGCAGCGCTGCCTTCGATGGGTTGGCTCAGATCCGGAGGTCTTCTTGCTCGCGGGCCAGAGAGTCTAGGACGGCTCTGCCATCCGCTGCGTCCGCGGTGCGCCGTGGTGCGCTGCGTCCTAAAGAGTACATCGGACTTTATTTATTTCGGAGGTTTAAGGTGTGGCGAGACTTTTCCGTAGAGAAAACGACGTTTTCCTCCCGCCGCCTTTCTCCTGCGTTCTGTTTTGGCCCTTTGGGTTCTCATTCTCTCGCAGGAGGTCCCCGTGGTGCTCCGGGGGGCTGCCTAAGCCTGCAGTCCGGCGCCAAGAGGGGCACTGCCCCCCTCCCCCCACGTGCTGTTGGAGCCCTGCCTTTGGACGCCCCCCACCCCACCCCACCCCCGCGCAGTCCAGGGGTGCGAAGGGCCGCGGCCAGAGCCAAGCCAGCCCTGCTCCGGAGCGGCTGGAGCTGAGGGCAAGGCAAGTGCGCTGGCTTGTTCACACAGCCATGGGATCCCAAAAGAAGGGCCGCTTTCCCGCCTGAAGAGAAACCTGCGGCTCCGATCCGGCAGCCAGAACCCCGCGGTGGACTCAGCCAGCGAAGGGGGGCGGGGGCGGGGAGAGGCTGATGCCTGACCGCAGGCCTGCGGGTCTCCCTCTCCCACCTCGCTTCTTGATTTACCTAGTGCCCTCGGCCGAGGGATCTCCTCTCCTTTGTAGTTTTCGCCTCACGACCATCCTGTGAAGTAGGCTGGCCCAAGGCACCAGGTCAGTTCTGTGGCAGGCTGGGATTTGAACCTGAATCTCGCAGCAGAACCTAAGCCGACCATCGAGTCCCCGCGGCGCACTGACTCGGGGGGTGGGGTGGCTACCCCGGCAGGCTCACAAAAGGAACAGGAGCAGAGGGTCACGCCGGTGGGGCGTCGTGGTTAGAGGGCTGGACTAGGAGCTGGGAGAGCCAGCCTGGTTGGAATCCCCCCTCGGCCATGGAAGCTGGCTGGGTCACCTCGGGCCGGCAGCCAGACACTCTCAGCCTCACCTGCCTCACAGGGACGTTGTGAAGAGAAAAGGGTGGGTGGGTGGGCATAAATGAAGTACATTTTTTAAAAATCGTTTCTGAACCCGAAAAGGGTTAGATCTCCGAGTTCCCCTAAACCGGAAAACTGTTATGGCTTCCACCCAATCCAACCCCGAATCGCCTGGCCAGCCTTCTGCGACGGTCGGTCCAGAGAAGGAGGCAAGCGCCCATCCCTTCCTGCCTTGACCCCATTCCGGACCGGGTGCCACTGCTTTCCCTTCCCGGGAAGAGCGAGGGCCGCAGCCACACACACACACACCCCGCCCCTTTGAAGACGGCCTTGGTTCTTTGGTTGGTGGCCGGAGGAAACCCGGGGGCTCCACGGCCCTCCGCTCTGC